AAAAAAAAAAAAAAGAAAAAAGAAAAGAGACGATCAACGGCGCGATAGACTCGATTCACGATTAATCGTGGTCGCGTTGGTGATTTCCAAAGGCGACTATACGCACCTGATAGAGTGGCCCCCACGCCACGCTTGGAACTCGGCGAGGCAAGATGGCGGGGAGCGGTGGGGCCCCGAACGAGTCCCTGACTCTCGGGTTCAGTTGCTGTTCGCACGTCGGGCCCCGTTGCTGCGTTACGCGGCCTCGTCCTGAACTTTTGAAACCATTTCGAAAATCTACTAGCCTGGAGAGCCCTCGCGCGAGACCGATCCGGCGTAACCGAGCAGGGAGGAAGAGAAAGAGAGAGAAAGAGAGCGAGTCTGACGTGCCGCGCGTTAGGCATTAACTCTCTCGAAGCGACGCGACGCGTTCATCATTCTTATCCTTCCCCTCTCTTTCTCTTCTCTCGCTTCGATTCGAGTAAGCACGTCACACAACGAGGGTCAAAGCGAGTTCGAAACGCGTGTTCGACGGTCAACACTCGACGATCCGGTGATTCGGTGTGAGGTGAATTGAGAGAAATTCGGTGGTTGCTCGTTGAAAAACTGCCCTCGGAGGACGGGGCAGGAAAAAGAGGAGGAGGAAGAAGAAGTCAGAGGGACGATCCGATACGTCCGTAGGAGGAAGATTTCGAAGAAAGATACCTCCTCGCAGGAAGAGAAAAAGCTGATCGAGCAATAAGCGCGAACTTGCCCGCGAGAGAAAACAAAACTACCACGGAATCGAACGGATTTAGTCGGTTTTCGACTGGTGGATTATTGGGAAACGGCTTGCTGCCGGCAGTGCTCGATCGAAAAAAAGGTATTGCTCCAAGTTGCGATCGCTTTTTTCCCCCCTCTCCCTCTTCCTTTCTTTTGCAACGTTACATTGGTGGTGGATCAATTCGACAATTCTTTTCTTTCGGGAACAGTCGAAAGAGAACGACCTTCGAGTTTCGAGGCTCGTATCGTCCGATTTGATAAATTTTATCAATGTCGAAAGACGTTGGTCCTCGATGTAAGTAATCGCTGAATACTTATGTTTACGTTTTTGTGTATCGAACAGCGTCGTATCGATTGGCGCCTTACACACATAAATACGCGGTATAACCTTTCAAATAGACACCGACTACTTGCCAATTTTCACCGACGACCACGTGTCTCCGTCTGACAAATTATTTTCTGCCCATATACGCGACTTATTAAGACCGCCTCGATCGACCCCAATTGCTCGAGCACGTTCTTTCAAACGTTAATTACACCCGGTCTCCGATGGGAAATTATCGCGCGCGCATTGAGTTTCATCGATAGAGTCGATGTGCATTCATGAATTCGATAGCTCCAAGAAAGGAAGGAAGTTCCAAGAAAACGGAAATCACAAACGACCACAGGTCAACGACAAACAGTACTTAGGGATTGACCTGGGTTTTCCCTAAACTTTCCAACGATGTCCCTCCCTAATTGCTATTGTCGCCGAGTTCCACTCAAGTCAAGAACGCGCCAAAGCAAGAATCAAACAATTCAGTACTGTCTACGATTATTATTATTATTATCCATAGTTTAGTAACATTTTGAATAATTAGGAGGATGCACAGGTACGAGTTAAATTTCGAAATCATTCCGAGAGAGCAGGGACATTATCGACAAGCTCGAAATTGAATTTATCTCATTCACGCGGCAGTCATTATATTCTGTGGACAAAATGCACTTAGGCAATGCAATGTAGAAGTGATTTCAAGAAAACACTGAAAAGCTGACTAGATGATACGGTGGTATGGTAGTAGACAAATGAAAAATATAATGTATTACTGTTTATTAATAATAAATTTTCCAAAAAAAACTTTAGTAAACAAACAAAATTTTGTATATATACATGTATTAATAGTTTATTTCAGTATGCTACTTTTTGAAACATTCTGGAATGTGTAAAGATACCAAACAAAGTTCACATT